ACATGCAATTTTAGTTTGAGAAACTAATGGCGGAAAGACAGTTTGAAAACTGCCTACCAGTGTGAGGGGTTTAGGAGATGCTGCATCTGAGAGGTGAGAGGAAAACAAAGCTTGTTCTTGTTCTGTAATAACAAGATCCCAATTTATTATTATTCCTACTATTAGTAAAATTCTTTGCTAATTAGAAATTTTTATAAGGAGTTAGGGCCATGTATTTTATAATTTTTTTAATTGATATTTATTGAGCTCTAATTTTTCTCTGCTCCCCTCCCTGCCTCTCCCCTCCCCACTTCAATCCTCCCCCAAGGTCCCCATGCTCCCAATTTACTCAGGAGATCTTGTCTTTTTCTACTTTCTACTTTCCATGTAGATTAGATCTATGTAAGTCTCTCTTAGTGTCCTCATTGTTGTCTAAGTTCTCTGGGATTGTGGTTTCTAGGCTGGCTTTTTTTTTTTTTGCTTTATGTTTAAAAACCACCTATGAGTGAGTACATGTGATAATTATCTTTCTGTGTCTTGGTTACCTCACTCGAAATAATGTTTTCTAGCTCCATCCATTTTCCTGCAAAATTCAAGCTGTCATTTTTTTCTGCTGTGTAGTACTCCATTGTGTAAATGTACCACATTTTCCTTATCCATTCTTCGGTCAAGGGGCATTTAGGTTGTTTCCAGGTTTTGGCTATGACAGGCAAAGCTGCTATGAACATTGTTGAGCACATGTCCTTGTGGCATGATTGAGCATCCTTTGGATATATACCCAAAAGTGCTATTACTGGGTCTTGAAGAAGGTGGTTTCCTAATTTCAGAGAAATTGCCACACTGACATCCAAAGGGGTTGTACCAGCTTGCATTCCCACCAGCAATGCAGAAGTGTTCCCTTTTTCCCACAACCTCTCCAGCCTAAGTTGTTATCAGTGTTTTTGATCTTGGCCATTCTTACAGGTGTAAGATGGAATCTCAGAGTTGTTTTGATTTGCATTTCTCTGATGGCTAAGGATGTTGAACATTTCCTTAAGTGTCTTTCAGCCATTTTAGATTCCTCTTTTGAGGGTTTCTGTTTAGGTCTGGACTCCATTTTTGGTTTTTTTTTTTTTTTATTGGAGTATGTGATCTTTTGATGTCCAATTTCTTGAGTTCTTTGAATATTTTGGAGAGCAGGCCTCTGTCTGATGAGGGCCATGTATTATTACAGTTACTGCCTTTAGATGTTCTTGTGGTATTTTGGCATATTTTGTTAAGTGAAGGCAGCTTTGAAGTCAGGTTAAAAAAATGCTAAAACTGAATTTCCTAATGTTTTCTCTACTCAGAAAACATTTTAAATTTATGTGTGTTTGTGCGTGTTTGCTGGTGCACTGTGTGTGCATGAGTGTGGGTGCTCACAGAGGCCAACACGGGGCCAACGAGACTATTGATTTCCAGGAGCTGGAGTGACAGGCAACCCAATGCTGGCGTGTCCTCGAAGGGCAAGAAATGCTGCTGACCACTAAGCTGGCTAGCCCGCTTGAGAAAGCCTTTGAACCACAGTGGTTCACAAGACTGCCACCAGTGCTCTGTACAAAATTGGGTTTCAGACGAAGAACTTGAAGTGTCTGATACCTGGCCTACCCTTCCAGGCTATGTGACCCTCCAGGCCATCTAGTAGATTGTTTTCCTTTGTGTCACCATATGGTTTGTGATGCTAGAGTACTTGTGCTCTCTAGGATAGAACAGAAAGGCTTACAAGAACCAAAAGTGTATGCCGCCTTCTGTTGAAAACCGTGTGTGATTTTATTCTTGTATCCCCAGCACTAGAAGGGGTCTTAACATTTTCTTTTTTCTTTTTAAGTTTTTTGAAACAGGGTTCCTCTGTTTAACAGTCCTGGCTGTCCTGGAGCTTGCTCTATCAACCAGGCTAGCCTTGAACTCACAGAGATCCTTGCCTCCCAAATGCTGGGATTAAAGGTGTGGACTGCTGCCTGGTTTAGCATTTTCTTTAAGGGATAAAGGTGTAAATCTGTTATTTCTTGGTTGCCATGGAGTCTGATGAAAGTTTCTGTTCAGGCTCAGGAAGAGGCTAAAGAGGCAGAGTTGACCAAAAAGGAGCTGGGGCTGCAGGAAGGAGTGGACAACCTGAAAGCACTCATTCAGGTAAACGTGGCGGGCTTCTCTCACAGCCTCATGGTCTCTTGTGTGTGCGTATGCTCTTGGGAATGGGTTCCAGTGTGTTTTGTTTTTGTTTTCTTTTAAGGTGTAATTACACATAACTTGCACCATGTGTACAGTGGAGTAATTTCCCCTCTCCACACTGTACAGCTCTCACCCCTGGTTCTAGAATATTGTTACCTCTCCCAAGGAAGCCGGTACCCATTAGTAGTCACTGGAGTGCTTCCTTGGCCCCACCCCCTCCAAACCATGAACTACTTTGTCTCGCTGGACACTGCTGCATTTTGAAAGATGTATTTAACTTCTCAAACAGAGCAGACAAAAGGATCGGCAAAAGGAAATGGACAGTTTTCTGGCTCAGATGGAAGCAAAATACTGCAAACCTTCCAAAGGGAAAAGGACGGCTCCCAAGAAGGAAAAGAAATAATAGAATTTTTCTCTTCATATGTCAGTGGTGCCATGGTAGACAAGGTGAAGGCAGGTGTTAGCCTAACCTTTGAGAGAAGTTTTTTTCTGCTTAAAATACGTGGATCTCCTAAGCCAGGCAGGACTCATCCCTATAGTTTGCTGTGTGAGGGGTTCACATGAAGGGTGTAGCGGTGATGGTGGGGAGGGTGGATTCGACTTCTGCCTCCATGGGTTTTCTTCCCAGGGAGATGTGCATGCACTTAAGAAATATTCTACCCTGGGGGGAGAACTGCAGATGGAATGTAAAGTGAAATTTTAAAAAATGTAAAAAAAGAAATACTCTACCCACAGAGAACACCCTCAGAATACCCAAACAGCTGTTTCAATAATCCTAGATCCTCTTCCTGTTCTACTGTTACGTTTTTGTGTTCTGTCCTTGTGGGAACAGAAGTGGGTGTTCATATTACTGCAGATTTTTTTTTGTAAGAATGTATGTGGCTAAATAAAGAAAAACTTAAAAGGTCTGGTGGATGTGTTTCAATCTGTTTTCGTTGTTATTTTTCATTTAGACAAGGTTTCTTTGTGTAGCTGTGACTGTCTTGGAACTCTGTTGGCCAGGCTGGCCTTGAACTCACAGAGCTCCGCCTGCCTCTGCCTCTCCAGTGCCACCACTGCCCAGCCAATACTCAGGTTTTTTTAAGGGTGAGTACTAACTTGAGGGAACGTTCACATGAAAAGCTGCTTAGAAAGGAAGTCCACCCGTGTACTCACTGTGCAGACTTGTGAGAACAGGTTTTCATGTATACCCGGGGTTGGGAGGTATTTGCTACAGTATGTGGTGTATTTGTAGTGACTGTTCAAGTCCTGGCTGTCGACTAATACAGAAATTGAGCCTCTTCCTCCAGGGCATTATAATTCAAGGTAGATACATCACACATTTTTTGTGATCACAAGCACGCTGGAACTTTTGAATTGAAATATGATCTGGTGTGGGAGTTCTGAAGCATATTATATTATCTAATTGATGGCATAAGAACTGGGAATAATTTAAGTCACTTTTGCTGGGTGGTGGTGCCACATGCCTTTAATCCTAACCCTTGGAAAGCAGAGGCAGGTGGATCTGTAATTCTAGTTCTAATTGTTCTTAATAATAAAAACTTGGAGTCAGTTATCAGGGGTGAAGGGTCAGAGAGAAGTAGAGCAGCCAACTACTAGAGAGTTCTTACCTCTACCAGTGCTCAGACCAAAGAGGTGATCCTGTTGCTATGAATCCTCAGACTGTCCTGAGGTCCTGTCTTCTCCCACCTTATATTCCTCTCTCTGTCCAGCCATATAACTCCTGTCTCCACCTTTCTAGTGCCGGGATCATCTTTATGTGAGCTGTGTCTATCTACCAAGTGCTGGGGTTAAAGGTGTGGGCCACCACTGCCTGGACAGTGTTCTAGCTCTGCACTCTGATCTTCAGACAAGCTTTGTTTTTTATAACATAAAATACCACACGGATCTCTGAGTTTGAAGCCAGCCTGATCTACAGAGCAAGTTCCAGGACAGGCTTCAGAACTACAGAGAAACCCTGTCTTCACCTTCGCATTTCCAGTGCCCTTGAGAAGTTCTCCAATTGCAATGCTCTTGGAATGGAGAACTGGCTCAGTGTAGAGTACTCACATCACAAGCATGAAGAGTGAGCTTGGAGCCCGGCCACTGACAAAAAAACCTGTTGTGCATGAGCTCCAAGTTCAGCAAGAGACCCTGTCTTAAAAAATGAGATGGAGAAACAGGAAAGGTACCCAACAACATCTGGCCCCCACATGTATGCGCACACAAAAGCCCCTGATGTGAAGCAGGCATATGAGGCTGTCCTAGGAAAAGAAACTGACTTTTTACCAGTGCTGATACCTTTTGTTAGCTTTTTTATTTCTGCTTTTTTTTAAAAAATATTTATTTATTATGCATACAATATTCTGTCTGTGTGTACGTCTGCAGGCCAGAAGAGGGCACCAGACCTCATTACAGATGGTTGGGAGCCACCATGTCATGTGGTTGCCGGGAATTGAACTCAGGACCTCTGGAAGAGCAGACACTGCTCTTAACCACTGAGCCATCTCTCCAGCCCCCTTATTTCTGCTTTTTAAAAGGAAAGTATGGCTGGCAAGATGGCTCAATAGGTAAGGCACCTACCCTGAGACTGATGGTCTGAGTTCAGCCTGACTCAGATGGGAGTCACCTTGAAGGATGTGTATGCCCCCCACACACACACATGCATTCACACAAAAATTCAGATGTGATAGAGCCGGGCGGTGGTGGCACACACTTTAATCCCAGCACATGGGAGGCAGAGGTAGGTGGATCTGAGTTTGAGGACCGGCTCCAGAGTAACACAGAGAAACCTTGTCTCGAAACCCCTTCCCCTGAAAAAAAAAAAGTAATAAAGAACTTAAAGTTTAGGAATGACATTTATTTGATGAGTATCTCAGATTTTTGGCAGCACTTTCTTCTAAAAATATGGTAAAATAGTGCAGTTCTCCAGAAATTAATATAAGTAGAAATATTCTGAAGCCAGTGATCTGAATCATCCGTGTGTATGGAATCTCACTGAACTGTATACGAATTAGACTGGTGATTGGTTACAGACAACATGAGCAGTGATTTGGGGCTGTTTTTCATTGTCACGTCTTTGGGTACAGTCTTTCCTACCCAGTGGAATAGCTGAAAGAAGACAGTAACTGGACACGGAACATTTGCCCATGCACTCTTTGGCAGATACGCTAGTGTTTCTCAGACAATTGTACCAAGATAACCCTTGAAGATGGACCAAGCTGCTGTCTGTAGGAGCTGTGCATTATCTGGTGCCTGAGCACTGGTGCATGAAGCCCTCCATGTGTTCGCAGTCTGCTGCAGCCTTGCGGGTTCTCACTTGCCCTTTGGTCACTGCCTGGTTCTAGAGATGGGTCCACCTCTGCTTTGAGGTTTTGTAGACCCATGTGACTGAGGACCTGTCAGATACAGAATTGCAGAGTGACATTAGTCAACAGTTTATATTTGGTAATGAGCATCACAGTTTATATCTTAGGGACCTTTGCATAAATTACTAGTGGACTTTAAATTTGGAGACTAAATACTGCGAAGTACACATTCACCAAGGCACTAAAAGCCATGTTTAAGTAGTCTACCCTACTGAAGAAACAACTCGTCTAAGAAGTGAAAGCAAGCTGGGCTTGGTGGCACATACCTTTCAGCACTTGGGAAGCAGAGGCATGAGGATCTTCATGAGTTCAAGGCCAGCGTGGTCTGCAATGTGAGTTCCAGAACTGTCAGGGTTGAAGAGTAGAGACTCTTGTCTCCAAGCAAAACCAAACAAAATCAGAACTGTAGCCTAGTTGCTGAAGAGCCTAAGACACATATTTCATTAACCTAAGTGTTAAAACTAATTAACAGCTGACTAAAAGTGTAGCTGATGTTGTAGCAAGATTGGAGGCTTTAAAAAAGATTTTTTAAACTTATGTATATGTGTGTGCCTATGAGTGTGTGCCACACATGTGCAGATACCTGTGGGGGCCGGAAGAGGGAGTCTGATCTCTTGGATCTGGACTTACAGGTGGTTGTGAGTTGCCTGACATGGATGCTGGGAGCCTTGGGTTCTCTGGAAGAAGCAAATCTTCTTAACCACTGAGCCATTTTTCTAGTCCCCCAAGTTTTTTGTTTAAAAAGTAATTAACCTTAAATATTAGTTTACTTGGTATTAAAAAACAACAGAAATTTGGAGCTTTTAGGCCTTTCTTTTATACCCATCTTCCAAAACGATGCTAAGATGATTTACACAGATGAGGGACAGCTAAATATAGAAAGTCTGCAGGAAAGGAGGATGTGTAGGAACAGAGACAAAAGCAAGAACTGCAGCCCCACCTGTACCTGCAGCCCCTCTGCCAGGTCGGGCCTGGTGAGGATACTCAGATGCACAGGAATTTCGGTACTGTGTGTCTGGCTAAAAGAAAAGAAAAGATGTCTTAGGATGCAGCTTCTCCCCCCCAAAGATCGTTGTTTGAGGCTTAGAGTGCATTAGCTAATTTTCTACTGCTTTCATAAACCAGGGCAACTTAAGGAAGGGTTTAGTGAGTCTGAGGCAGGGAGGCAGAAGGCATGGCAGCAGGAACAGCTAAAGAGTGCATATCTTGAATTTCAACAGGAAGCCGAGAAATCTAGCTAGTAATGGTGGGAGTCTTCAAACTCCCACGCATCCTCAGTAGCATACTTCCTCTGGCCAGGCCTCCTAAACTGCCCAAACAGCGCCACTCCTAGGGACCAAGTATTCATATGTCCTACACTTTAACCACACAGGAGAACCTTGACATTAACAATGAAAAACTGTCACCTGCCAACCTGGGGTCACTATGTTAAATTCCAAGAAGAAAGTTTCAAGCCAGATGCCCACAATGCGATTTGCTAACTTGTAAGAATTGCATGTTAACTTTATTAATATGTGTTTAAGAAAATCTTAACATTTACAAATAATCCATATGGTGTAATGTTGCAACTGGACAAAAGGGATGTTTTCTTTTGCCTTCATTGTGTTGGGATTGCAGGTTTGCAACACCACAGCTTCCAGGAGAATGCCATCTGATTTCACAGCATGCCTTTTCTAGAGCCAACACTTGGTGAGAGGGAAGGACACCTATGACTTCATGATGATGAGATGGACTCAGACTTTCCATTTACTTTTTAGCTTTATGAAACTCAAACATTTCAAAGTTACTTCAGTTGGCTGTAGAGGTTCATGTCTTTAATCCCAGCCATTTGGAGGCAGAGGCAGGTGGATGAATTTGAGGCCAGCCTGGTCTACAGAGCAAGTTCCAGGACAGACTCTAAAGCTACACAGAGAAACCCTATCTCGAAAATTAAAAACACACCACCAACAACAACCAGATACTCCCTTAAAAGTAAAAGAGCTAGCAGGAGCGCAGACGCAAGGAGAAAAGTGCCAGCTCTTAGAACACCCATCAGGTCCTCAATCTGACATCACTTTTTGGAGTACTTTCCACAGAGTGGAGCAGAAGTGGAGTTAGGCTGACTGGATGTGCACTGGAGTTTATTCTGTTTATGCTCAGAGTAAGCTGCTGAGGATGTTCAGTTTATAAATAGGGGCATTTTACTGCCAAAAAAGTGAGAATGGGGACAACTGAAAATTTTAAGGAGAAACGCTTAGTATTTTTATCATTAGAACATCCAACTGTTTTCCTTAGAGTTAATGAAACCACTTGATAAAGTCCTATGTTTGCCTAACATATACCCTACCCCCATTCTTTCCCTAACTACCAAGGACAAATAGGAGCTGGGTAGGTAGCTGTCTGCTGTAATTCCAGCACTTGGGAGTGGGAGGCAGGATTAGGAGCTCAAGACCATCATGGGCTATCTGAGACGCTGTGTTAACCCCCTCCAAAACCAATAAATGGGAAGCACTTTACCAAAAATGACTGAGTTGTGTTGGGTCTAGAGAAGACAGGTAAAAGGAGCCTCTCTTGGGGCTGCTGGTTTGGCTCGTCCACCACTGCACTGCGAGCTCTGCTGGAGTCACCATGGGCTTTCTGCGGAGGAGAGACAGCGAACAGTACATGTGTGGGTGTGGTGGGGGCGCTCCTGTGCACGTGCCAGATCAACACTGCCCGCAGCAGCAGCGGCGGTGCCCGGCTGCCGACAGCTCCAACCCCACTGCCACCGCCTAGAGCCTGACTATTTTTGAGAGAAGAATTAAGGTCAACATAAACTCTGCAGAACTACCACTGCCCAAGAGACTACAGGGCACACACCTGAAGGCTGTGTGAATGAGACTTACTGTTGGCCGCTGCGACCCCATGTTGCTCAGACGTTCTACTTCAGCTGTTCCAATAGGTGGCAGCAGATTGTTCCGACCCAGGGGCATCGGTGAGGGAGAAGACAGCGTGTCTGCAGTCGCTGGACTGCAGAGCCCACCAGCAAAACCGAGATGCAAAGCACAGTTGTAACAACACAAGCAAGTGGGTGAGAAATGCAGTCAGTGAATCGCTAAGTCTAGTGTGCTCACCTAGATTCTCAGAAAAGGGGAGCAATTTTGGAAAGAGTCCCTCCCCCCCCTTAAATTTCACAAATACAAATCTTCAACAGAATCAACTAAATGATCTCATCCAGTATTTTGTATTTCACTAAAACTTAAAAAAAAATGAACTGGATTTAAACTACAGACAATTCATCGTATGACTACTTGAGTATTTGTTTCCAGGCATAGCTTAAATCTTATAGTCAAGCTCATTCTCTTACTAGTCACATAACTATTGGCACTAGTTTTATAGTCAAATTCATTCTCTTACTATTCATATAACTATTGGTACTAGTTTTATAGTCAAGCTCATTCTCTTACTATTCATATAACTATTGGTACTAGTTTTATAGTCAAATTCATTCTCTTACTATTCATATAACTATTGGTACTAGTTTTATAGTCAAGCTCATTCTCTTACTATTCATATAACTATTGGTACTAGTTTTGCCAGGTTCAGAAATTTTGCTTTTGAAACCTACACTCGGGATCCTCTGAGGATTTCTTCTGCCGGCCATGGCGTCCCAGCACGTGAGTGGCTTGTGCTGATCGGATGAAGGGTGCGTGGTGGGGGGTTGCGTCTCCTGGCGGACTGTGCTGTATATGACAATGATGACGTACTAAGGTCCAGGGCTCGGTTTGGCCAATTTCGGTTTGAAAGGACGGAACTGGAGCCAGGCCTCATAAGTAGCTTGTCATCAAGATCTCTGGTGGCCAAATCAGAAAGCACAATGAAAATCTCTATGTAAAAGAAGACAGGGCTCTGGGTAAGAAGCCTCAACCTAAGACGTTCAGGGAAGAGAAGAACCGAGCGGCTTCCAGAGGCTACCTAGGATTCGGGCAGCCTGTTAGACAGCAGAGGCTGGGCTGGAGTATGAGATCCTTCTCCTGACCTCTCCAGTCCTGGATTATAACTGTGTACCTGACAATGACCTGTTTCACTCATACCTTTCTAGAATGGAGATTTGGTTATATGCCCATGGCCCACTTGCCACAGTCACTTGCTCAGTTGGGAAGGCAAGGCTGACAGGTACTTAGTGCATCCTGCCCACAGTCCTGCACTTTCTGAGCTGAGGAAATGTCCTCAGGGTTAGGTCTCAGACACCAGGGTGGCCTCACTGGTTTGGTACTGATTTGTTATTGAAATAGTGAGCTAAGTTTCAGGGAATCTAAAGCCCTCTTCTGGGCTCTGTGGACACTGTACACACGACACACACATATATGTGGAAGTGAAACACTCACACAAATAAAAATAAACCTTTAAAGTGCTGAGCTAGTGGGAACAAGCAAAAGGTTCCTGCCACATGCTGTCCAGGGCAAGAAGAACAGAACAGACCCCTGTCTGCAAAAATCAGCTAAAGAATGCAATTCTCCCATAAGCCTGGTGCTGCCCTACAGACACAGCAGTGGGCTTGGTTTGTGTTTTACAAAGACACCAGGAACTCTGGCGATTCTGAGATGTCTAGGAGACAAGATGAAGGAGAGTGGAAGAAGTGAGGAGCCTGCCTCTGCCATGACTGCTCAGCCTGTCAGGCCTGGGCTGTATTCAGGGCCTTAGTGTTTGGGAGGATTTGGGAAGGACAGTGCCCAAGTTCTAGCCTTAGAGAGCTTTCTTGTCTTCCTAAGTAACCACTCACTCATGTCTTCTTTTTCCAATTCACTCACTATATTCTAATTTAAAAAGTATGGGTTTAGCCAGGCATGGTGGCACACTCAGCACTTGAGAGGCAGAAACAGGTGGATCTCTGTGAGTTCGAGGCCAGCCTGGTCTACAAGAGCTAGTTCCAGGACAGGCTCCAAAGCGACAGAGAAATCCTGTTTCAAAAAACTAAAAACAAAACAAAACAAACCCCCAAAAACTAAAACCAAACCAAAACAAAAAAGAGTCATGGATTTTAGCTGCTCTCCATCGGTGTTTTATTCTGTTAACTCCTTTCTTGTCTGATGGTGAGTTCAATTACCAGCTTTTACTAGGTGACATTTAAGTCGGTCTCCAGGCTTTGAAGGTGGTCCATTACTGAGAACAGAACCCAAAAGAAAAACGAACCTCCTGAGCTTGAGATCTCAGAACTGACTCTGATTCATTTGTCACTGCAATATCCCCCAAGCTCAGTCATTCCTTCTTTGAGTGCTGGGGATCAACTACTTGATAGACAAGAATCTTCAGCCAAGCTCTGTGGTCCTGTTCACCATCACCCTGTGCAGGTGCTGGCTGCACCGCCGCCCTGCACTGGTGCTAGCTGCACCATTGCCCTAAGCTAATGCTAGCTGCACCATTGCCCTGCACTAGTGCTGACTGCACACCCTTACAGCTCTTGCTTATTCTCACTTCCTTTTGCTGAAGTACAGTTCCTGTCTCATGCTGTGTGATCTGCCCCAGCGTCCTAAATGTGACTATATGTCCTCAAAAATGTCCTATACAAAATACTTATAATACCTTTCTGCATAATAAATTAAACCCCACCTAAAGACAACCTAGTGACAACAGCATAGATAAATTATGGTAGTCATCTATAACTACATGAACAAATACTAACATTGCATGCATAGCTATCCACAATCTGATCACATTTATTCATGAATTCTTTCCCACTAATTTTACTGTGGACTATTTAAATTTACAATATTGTCAATTATCTTTGATTGGAAGCATTGTAGTTCTAAAATATTACTTCTTTTGTGAGCCCGATGTGTTGGCACATGTCTTTAATCCCAGCACTCAGGAAGCAGAAGCAGGTGGATCTCAGAGATTAAGGCTGGCCTTGTCTACATAGTTGAGTTCCGGGACAACCAGAGCTACATAGACCGTGCCACAAAAAAACAAAAACAAACAAAAACAAAACCAAAACAAACAAAAAAACCTTTTTCTGTAAGAGTGTGGGTACTGTATGAAGGCCAGAGGACAGCTTTAGGGGCCAGTGCTCTCCTTCCATCACTTCAGTCCCTGAAGTCAAACTCAGGTTGTCAGGCTTGGTAGCAGGCACCTGTATCCATTAAGCAATCCCTTTGGCCCAAAAGCATTAAAGTTCTGACATCTGACACTTTTATGCCAAAATGGTCTCCTTTTTCCTAAGTATTTAACATGTTTACTCTTTTCATGCCGTTCTTCTTACTAGGATGGCCTTGTAATTATCTAAATCCCTAGACACAGACTTTCCTTTGGGGTGGTACAGCAGTCCATGTGGGCAGCACGCACATGACACTCAGCCACACACTGCTGCATGTGGCCAGGTCCTGGGTCTCCTTCCCAGGGATAGAGACTTTGCTCCTTAACTGTTATCCTCTCTTGTGTCTGCCACTCAGTGGCCTGGTGGTGACTGGTTGCTTTCCTCTCTTTCTCAGCATTCTACTTAAGCTCTCCAGTGAATGAAAAGCCGAGCTTCTTACAGGAGCTTATCCATCAGGGAGAGGTTCCTTGGCTGTAGAGGCATCCCGTGAACCAAGAGGCCATTCACGTTTGGCTGGTGACCACTTGCTTGACAGAAACTCATCTATGTGTCAAAAGCATACATTGGTTGGTGAAGACACCTGCTCCATTTGCTAAGTTTGCAAAATTAGTTTTCCAGTTAGGTTATTTACACCTTCCCCCAAACTTGTGCCTTAACTTTACAACAGCTGACCAGTAGCTGGCAAGGTGCACTGTCAAGAGAACAGGGTTCTTTTCTTTGTTCTGTATTTCTTTTTTTTTAAAGTTTATTTATTATGAATACATTGTTCTGCCTGCATGTATGCCTGCATGCCAGAAGAGGGCATCAGATCTCATTACAGATGGTTGTGAGCCACCATGTGGTTGCGGGAATTGAACTCAGGATATCTGGAAGAGCAGTCAGTGCTCTTAACTGCTGAGTCATCTCTTCAGCTCCTTGTTCTGTATTTCTAAGTGACAGCCGATCAACACAGATGAAAATTAATGGCTACTCTCATGGGCAGAGAGAAGCATTATTACTCTTACAAGAGAAAAGAAACCCTAAATAGTAAAGTCACAAGCAAACTTTGGAACAAGAGGAGAAATAAGTGCAAATAACTGATCTTTTTCACTAGCACATGATCCTGAGCTCTGCAGACTCATCTCTCACTAGCCTAGAGTTCTGGTTCTTGATCATTCATTGTTCTTTCTTTTATTTTTTATTTTTAAAATTTTTATGACAGTGTTTCTCTGTATTGCCCATACTGGCCTTAAAATGGTGGGCTCAAGTAATCTTCCTGTGCCAGTTTTCTGAGTAGCTGGAGCTACAGGGGTATATCTCCCTACGTCTGTCCCATGTGATAACCTAAATTCCAAAGGCTTTAAAAGGAGCTAATCTTAGTTGTTCTAATACTACCAACATGAGCTGGCCATCATCAAGAGGTGGCCTTTAACCACCTCTTCTGCCATAGAAGAAATGGTATACACCTGTAATCCCAGCACTTGAGAAGCTGAGGCAGGGAGATTGTGAGTTCAAGGCTGACCTGAACTCACAGTGAGTTTGACGCCAGCCTGGGCTATACAGTGAAACCATCTCTTAACAACATGACTATGGAGTTGTGACCTGGCCACAGAGGAAGCGAGATATGATTGCCTCACTGAGTAAGGTACCAAGCCACGTGGCTAACACAGACAAGAATAATGGGCTAATATAAGTTATAAGAGTTAATAAGAAGCCTAAGCTAATGGGCCAATCAGTTTATAACTAATGTAGAACTCTGTGTTTCTTTGGAACTTAACAACTGTGGGAACTGGGCAGGACAGGAAGTCTCAGACAACAAATGGCACCCAGGTGGACAACTGCATCCACATAAAGCCTGAGAAAGCTTGGGGAGTAATTCTAGACATAAAATAATAGAGTCAAGTATGGCTTACTAATAGCAGCATTTTCTCAGGTGGGCTCTGCTTGCTAGAGGCAAGCACTCTCATTTAAGAGAGACTTCCTGACTCAGCTTTAGCTATAAAACCTTGCAGCTCTTTTAAGAGGACCTGCCACAAAACACTTAAATGGTGTTGGTGAAAAGCTGACCACATGCTTTTTGGTTTTCAGCTGTAACAGGAAAAAAAAAAAAGCCATGCTGTTTTAAAATGCTGGTTTTCTGGGCTGTCCTGCCAGTGCAAACTCTGACTCTTTCAGGCAGGAGTTCCAGCTACAGAGCATTTGAGTGTGGTTTGTGAGCTGCTGTGAGTTAAAGGCATGGTGGTACACACCTTTAATCCCAACGCTTAAGAGGCAGAGGCAGACAGATCTCTGTGAATTCAAGGTATGTGGCATACACCTTTAATCCCAGCACTTGGGAGGCAGAGGCAGGCAGATCTCTATGAGTTCAAGGACAGCCTGGTCTACAGAGGGAGTTCCAGGACAGCCAAAAATACACAGAGAACCTGTCTCAAAAAGCCAAAAATTGAAAGTAAAAATAAAAGAAATAGAGGTTAAAATAAAGCCATGTATAGATGGAAAACACACAGAGAATCTGGATACTGAATGTTATTATGCTCTCTTTGAATTGTTTGAATGCTGAGTAAGGAGCAACAGCTGCTAAAAGATATTTGCTTATAAATGCTGCTGAATTAATCCAAGATAGGTATTTTGAAAATACCTTGACTTCAAAATTGAAGTCAAAAGGTATGTTACTTTGGAGAAGAGGTTTTGCTTTTGTTTCCACAGAAAATGAGAGGCTGTCGATTTATTCTGAGTTAAGAAAAATCAGGTTTGATCAAGGAAGACCACCTGAGAAATCTCCCAGTAGGAACAGATGGCCCAGATGTCTGAGTTCTACATCCAGAACAGATTCAAGAAGGTGCCTGAGATGATCAAGCCTCACAGGATACTCCAGTCAGGACTTGATCATAATTCTAAGTTTTCTTTAGGTCCCCATAAGATTATCAGTGTTCCCAAACCAACAGGAAGTAGCCTGGAAAACTACACCCACATTCCCAAAAAATGGACTATGGATATTTTTCTTTGTTTAGAATGTTGGTTACAAGTTGTTATGGCTAATGGTCAGGAGAAAAGCTAAACAAAGGATATTAGATTCAGAGTTCTTTTTTTTTTAAAAAAAAAAAAGAGGGGGAAGTGGTGTGGGACAGTGGTCTGTATTCTGTCAATTATATTTTAAATAAATGCTGATTGGCCAGTAGCTAGGCAGGAAGTACAGGCAGGACAACCAGAAAGGAAGTAGAGGCAGGCCAATAAGAACAAGAGAATTCTGGGAAGAGGAAAGCTTGTTCCACAGTCGTGACCCGGCCACAGAAGAAGCAAGATGCGACTGCCTCGCCAAATAAGGTACCAAGCCATGTGGCTAACAGAGACAAGAATAATGGGCTAATATAAATTATAAGAGTTAATAAGAAGCCCGAGCTAATGGGCCAATCAGTTTATAACAAAAAAAATGACTATGTTGTTGTGAACCCTGCCAGAAATCCAGAAATAATACAACCAAGGCAAACACCTGAGCGAGTTTCTTTTGGCAGGAACAGTTCCAGTTTCTTACAATCTGCTCTGAGGCTTACCGGATTTGAGGTGATGGACAGCACCTTAGACTGCGGCACTCGAGGTAAAACCAAGGGATGCTGTTCATTCAGCACACAGGGACTTGCCGAATCCAGTCTGGTAATTTCAATGTTACTCTCATCATCTGAGCAAAGAAAAGGATCTATTATCCATAGGTCTCTTCTGATTACAGTTCTGAGAGACAATCTTCCTGACAGCTAGTAGTCTAGAAAGGCTTCATTCCCTTCTGCAGCTCAACTGCATACCCGCACAGCTATAAACCCTCAGGCTGAGAGCTCAGTTTGAAGCGCTTTCCAGGCTGGAGGTGCCAAGCAGAAGGAAAAGCAGTCATCTATGACAGAGCCTTTGGAATTGATGGACATGTTTACATCAGTGCTGCCCAATGTGGTGGTCATAAGGGATGACACCATGGGACACTTAAAATGTGGCTACTGTAACTGGGAACAAAGTTTTTAAAGTTTTTTTTTTTTTTTTTTTTTTAGTTTTTCGAGACAGGATTTCTCTGTACCTTTGGAGCCTGTCCTGGCACTAGCTCTTGTAGACCAGGCTGACCTCAAACTCACAGAGATCCCCCTGCCTCTGCCTCCCGAGTGCTGGGATTAAAGGCGTGCGCCACCACCGCCCAGCCAAAGTTTTTAAAGTTAAAGAGCCACATGTTGCTGGTGACTGCTGTAGAGCTGTAGAGCCCTCAGATCATTAATCCGGACTTCACAACCCTTTCACAGGGGTCACATAGCAGACATCCTGCATCCAGATATTTACATTATGATTTATAACAGTAGCAAAATTTTCATGGCTGAAACAGCAATGAAATAATTTTATGGTTGGGGGTCACAGCACTAGGAAAGTTAAAGAGTCAAAGCACTAGGAAAGTTGAGAACTACTGTCATAGACAATGCACTGAAACTAGAAACCATTAAAATCATAGTTTCTATATGGAGATCAAGCGCCCTGAAAAAAAGCAAGTGGAATAGCACTGCCAGTTCTGGAAAGACTTCCAAAATTGGGGTAGACAGACACTGAATGTAAAGCTAGCATTTTTCTTAAAAGACCTGAAAATATAAGTAAGTGCAAAATATAAAAAGAAGCAATTTTTAAAAAGAACACAATAGATCTACGAAGGCCTCTAAACTGAGATTTAAGCTTTGGTGTAAAGTTAACGAAATGGTGAACTAGGAGGAAAATCTAGGGTGCAGGGATGACGCAGAAACTAAGAACACTTGCTGTTCTCTAAGAGGACTCAGAGTTTGGTTCCCAGCATCCACATCAGGCAGTTTACAACCATCTGAACCCACAACTCTAAGGGGCCTCTGCAGCACCAGTATACACAGGTACATGTACACACACACAAATGCACACACACATACACAAAAGAATAAAAATAAATCTAAAGGACAAAGGTGGCCCACACCTTCAATCCCAGACCAGATCTGGTTCTCTTGAGTTTGAGGCCAGCCTGGTCTACAGAGTGAGTTCCTGTTGCGGGAGGTCCTCCCACTCCTCCAGCCTATCACCGCTGAGGTACCAGCCCACTGGGGCGTGGTTTCTCTCCCTTTAAAAAAGCGGCCACTTCCCTCTCCTCTCTCTCTTCACTTCCTGCTCCGCCTGCGACTAGACTCCTTTCCTGGTTGCGAAGAGGGCTGTTGCCTGGGACAGTGATCTGTAAGTTTTTTCCCCTTTAAATAAATACCACCCTAATAATCATAACCCCGAATTGGTGTGGCATTGTTTGTGACTTACGCCTTCAAGTTCCAGGACAGCCAAGGACACACAAAGAAACCCTGTCTCAAAAAACAAAAAGAGCAAAACAACAACAACAACAACAACAATAAAAAACACAAAAACATCCTTTAGTATACAAAACAATTGAAGACCAGCATAGTGAATAGTGAACCTTGGTAAGCAAAGAGAAAACTTAACATGTGTATGACATGAAATATGCAAGAATGTTCATAGCATTACTGTCATAACTGCCAAATTTTAGTATATATGGAACTGGGATTAATTCTTTTATGTTTTGAGACAGTTTCTCCATGTAGTGTTGGAGCCTGTCCTAGAATTTGGTCTGTAGCTCAGCCCAGGCTGAACTTAAACTCACAGAGTTCTGTCTGCCTCTGCCTTCTGAGTGCTGGGATTAATAGTGTGTGCCATCACTGCCCTGCGAGATTCAAAGTTCTGTATCACATTTATTTATTTGTATGTGTGTACATACATGTGCCATGGTGCTTGTATGGAGGTCAGAGGACAACCTGACAGCTTGCTCCTCCACCAAGTGGGTTCTGGGGACTAAACTCGGGTTGTCAGGCTTGGCAGCAAGCTTCCTTTACCCTTTGAGCCTCATCACCGGGACTTCTGAGCTTTTTATCATTAGACACACTGATAATGAACTGGAGGGGGGAGAAAAAGAAAATGAACCGGAGGATAAATCATGTTTTTGGATGTCTAATTCAGAGATGGTCCACTTCTCAGAGACAATGGGTGGTGAAGCTTGGTTCCTTAGTTAAAAACATGATAATAACGTAAAGCTAAGTATTTTTTTCCTAATTTAGATTTCAAAAACCATCTTGATTGAGAATTAAAATGATCGCCAACATAAGCTGTATAGCCTCTGAGAGCTCTAGTTAGCTCTGCGCATCTTTTGCACAGATGGCCCAGAGTGCAGGTGAGCAGTCCGGAGTGTAAGTTCTGTGCACAGCAAATGCTAAAGCATCTGCATTTGTAAAAGGTGAGAATACTGGGTATGGCTGGGCAGTGGCGCACATGCCTTTAATCCCAGCACTTGGGAGGCCGAGACAGGTGGATCAGCGGATCTCTGTGAGTTTGAGGCCAGCTTGATCTACAGAGTTCCAGGACAGGCTTCAAAGCTACAGAGAAACCCTATCTTGAAAAACCAAACCAAACAAACAAATGAAGAGAAATAAAAAAGAATATTACTCAGTTTTATATACTTTTGGTTTATAGAAAAACAAAACATAACAAACATAACAGAATGTCACATGACTAAATTGCAGGTTGGCTTCTGTACTGGTTAGGTTTTTTTTTGTCAACACTAGAGTCACCTGGAAAGAGGCACTCAGTTGAGGAACTGCCTTCGTCTGTCTGGCCTACACACATAGCTTTGCAGCATTTTCTTGATGTGGGTGGGCCCAGTCCAAGTTGGATGGTGTCACCCCCAGGTAGTCATGATCCTGGGCTGTATAAGAAAGGAGGTTGAGAGCATTGGCTGCTCTTCTACCGGACCCAGGTTTTATTCCCAGCAGCCACATGATGGCTTGCAAGTGTCTGTAACTGCAGTCTTGAGGTCCAGCACCACCTTCCTGACCTCTGCAGGCACTGCACGCACATGGTGCACAGACAGACATGCAGACAAATGTGTGAGCACACAAAAATAAAATAAAAACAATCTTTTTTCAAAAAGGAAAGACTAGTCAGAAGATGCGAGATCCTTGGAACTGGAGTTATAGATGGTTGTAAGCCACCATGTGGGTGCTGGGAGTTAACCTGGGTCCTCTGCAAGAACAAGGGCTCTAACTGCTTAGCTGTCTCTTCAGCCCCAGACTTAACATTTGTCGTATTTTCAAAACACTCATAAGAACAACCCACTTCATTGTATTTAATTAATTATTTAGGTTTTAGAAAGATGTTTTTTTTTTTTTTTTTTTTTTTGGTTTTTCGAGACAGGATTTCTCTGTGGTTTTGGAGCCTGTCCTGGAACTAGCTTTTGTAGACCAGACTGGTCTTGAACTCACAGAGATCCTCCTGCCTCTGCCTCCCGAGTGCTGGGATTAAAGGCGTGCGCCACCACCGCCCAGCGTAAATAGAAAGAGGGTTTTATGTAGCCTAGGCTGACCTTCAATTCCTCATCCTTCCACTTCCCCCAAGTGCTGAGGTTATAGGTGTATACCACTGCAAGATACCTACTTGAGTTTTGCTTTTGTTTGTGTCTATGGGGGTTGGGGAAGCAAATATGAGCTTGTGCTGTCAGGTGTGCATGCGCATGTGTGTAGAAGTCAGAGAGCAATGTAAGGAATCAACTCTTTTCTGCCACCTCATGAGATTGGGGGTTCCAATCAAGGTCATCAGGCTTGCATGCAAGCATTTGTACCTGCTGAGCCCTATCACTGGCCTGACCAAGTAATTTTAATGAAAAGTATCAGTCCTGTTCTCTTGGGTTTCAGAAGGGAACACACATAGACAACATCAAATATAGCAAAGGTTGGGCAACTAGAACTGTCAGGGGCCGTGAGAATTACTTACTGCAGGTGACAACTAGTGTTCAGATGTCAATCAGGAGTGGTCATCTGGTGGAGGCTAACACTGCCCAGACAAGGTCTGCAGGACCATCGACTCTGGAAAGTGCTGCTCATGGTTGCTAAAGCAGCTGGTGTCTCCCCAATACCTGCATTGTAGTGTGTGATCTCATGTGATGTGTATATGTAATCTCATGATTGCATCTCAGTCTTATGGGCTCATATATCTGTGGATGGTCAGAAAGATGACTTTTATTTTGGCTGCATAATTTTGATATATAGAAAATACTGGGACATACTTCATAACTGAATGTATTTGTCCCATGAAGACTGTAGACACTTAAAAGCCTGCTCTGTTCCTTTTTACTTTGACTATTATCAAAAAATAACAATTTCTCCTCAGTCTAACACAAACTGCATACAATTAGCCCACTTTTACCCCAGAGCAAGTTCAATCTAGACTAAAGGCTTTTTAAAAGTAGATCACAACTGTAAAACCTTACAGCTATGCACAAGGTCAGAGTCTCAGAAGTCCAACCAAGGTTATTACACAAAGCACCCTAAGAAAACCATGGCAATTCTTTGCTTGCCAGTCTGTTAACAAAAGACCTGTGTCTCAAAACTTATCTCACTGGGCACTGTGCCCTTCACCCTCTGGTCACGGACTTAGTCCTGTAACCTTGGACCCTTGTGTTGCCATGGTAAACAGCTCAGCTCTTTATCACTTGCTCTAGAAATGTGCTTTTGACCAATCAGAGGCAACTCTTGTAATTTCTTTATCACTTCAAGGCTTCTGGGAGAAAGAGAGTTTTTAAGCTACAGAGAAGCTAGAAGAAGAAGCTAGGAAGAATTAGAAGAAGGACAGGAGAATTAG